GGTGTGTTTTGCTGTGGTTCTATGGTATGAGTGTGGTTGAAAAACAGCTTCAATTAAATGTTCCTTTTATGAGTTACTGCCTCGCTACAATATGACACATTTATGATGTAAACTTAAAGTGAGCTTCCCCTGTTTGACAGACCAGCAGCTGCCACTGACTGATAGCCTTTATTCTGTAATGGCTCAGAAGAGACTCTTCTTTAAAGAAATGTCCTCCCTAGTTATGTTACATTCTGTTACGCTCGATCACTGACGTTGTCAGCATTAATTAAACTGTCACTTAGAAAAGCTTCTGCCTCGTCAGCCGGAGAAAAGAGATCCTTGAGCTCAATTACTTTTAACTATAGTCTCTTGCAAATGTTGAAAGCTGAACTTCATTTCAATCGACAAGACATCTGAAAGGATTCAGATTCAATTAGAGGATATGATGCTGGATTTGAATTGATTTCACCTTTCGTCAAATATTTGCATATCTTCATTTATTGTAATTAAAGACAAACAGCAAACAGTTGTGGATTATTACGCACTACTCAGATGTTCCAGTAGTGTGTATCTGACTCAGTGATTAAATTTGCATTATTTTACAAAAGGCTGCCCTTCACTGAGTTCACTATGAGACACAGTCAGAATGAACACAGCGTACAGTCTGCCGCAGTGACGCCTGGATGAACTCAGTTTATAGGTCGATAATCAGCATTAATGAGGTCAAAGACAACATGCTGCTGGAGCCCCGAGGTGACTGGAAGCCGTCAAAGTTATTCAGCAAAGTTTGTGATTAATTGTGAATAATAATAAAAGTGCTCCTGAAGGCTCAAAGAGAGAAAAGACATTAAAAAAACAGAAAGAAAAGGAAAGTTTCATCATTCGACCGTCCCTCAGAAACAGGCTCAAACCAGCTCCAGAGGATTGTGACAGAGAAACATATTTATGAATCTATGTCCTTTTCAAGCAGCTACAGAGATGTCACTGTGAATTACCAGAGGAGGGTTCCAGTGTTTTGTGTCCTCACTACATCCAAGTCAAAACCCAGCTGATGGATTTTCCATGCGTGAAGCTTTACTAACAGGAATTGACAGGCTGGGTTACAGAGAAATAATCTTCCCTTCATAAAATGTTCCAAACAGTGTTTGCAGAGTAAATATGTCATCACGCAGACAGAGAAGATGTTTTTAAAGAGTCAGCTCTCTGAAACTCCGCAGGGATGTTGCATCTTATAAACAGCTACAGGCCTGAGGGGAAATAATTACCTCCTTTAGAAAATATCTCCTCTAATGAGTGTCTGTTAAATGTGCCACAACATTTAAGGTAGATGCTTCAAAATGTCATCTAATCTACCCTTTAAGGAGCCCTGACCTCCGGCTGCTCCCCCTGTCAAGCTTCCCATTCTAAAACAACACACATGTAGTAAACAATAATGAAGACCCCGCTCTAAACTCTTTGTAATATATAAACAATGGTTCCCCAATTTTAGGCTGCTCTCATAAACTGTTTGTACGTTTTTCTACGAAAAGAAAAAATAGTATATATCTGACATAATTATGAGCCAAATGTATAACCCAGATATTTCTGAAGGCTGCAATCACATGACCAACGCACTGATCCAACTAACTCCACAGACTTTTAACATAGTACATCCTCACCATAGCTGTGTCTCAGTTCAGGGGCTGTAGCCTTCGAAGGCTGCATTTGAAGACTGATTGCGTCGGGCATGCCCAAAGCTGTCTCATTTCGAAGGCTCCGAGAAATGCAGCCTTCTTTCCCAGAACTTGGAGGATGCAACAGATGAATCATTTGTGGCTCAGTCAGTCCCATGATGCATTGCGCGCTGGTGACAATTATACTTGTATGATTATACACCAGAGTATTACGTTAACTAACAGTTATTAACTACCTAACGGTTCACTGCTGTTAACATAACTGTTAGCTAAAAGCACACAGCGTAAACAATCCTAATTTAATAAGTTTATCTGAAAATGGTCCATCAGCCTGAATATATTAGGCTGACCAAACTTTCTCTTTTGCCCGGACATGTCCACTTTTCACGTCCCGTCCGGGGCGTCCGGGGCGTCCGGGGGGGTTTTATAAACTGATGATAATGTCCGGTTTTCCGTGTGTTTGTGTTTGTGTGTGTGTGTGTTAGAGTGCGGCACGGGCAGCATATTTCTGCCCGAACCCGTACCGAGCCCGACATTATTTAATGACCAAAGCACTGAGTTTGTGTCACACAGTTGCTAGGTTACAGGCTATTTAACAGGCCGGGCGTGCGGAGAGGGAGACCTCCGTGTTTGAGACGGGAGCTGGAGGCGGGAGGTCCGACACTTCCAGCGAGAGGAGAGGGAGAAATAAAACAAAATAAGATAAAACAGGAAAAACCTGTCTCCCTCTTTTATTTTATTTTCAGCGTTTAATCAAGGCGGAGGCGGGCGGCTGGAGGTCCGAGACTTCCAGCGAGGAGAGAGGTAGAAACAAACAGCCAATGTGTGTCTGTGTGTGTTATGTTCAGGTGTTGTCACGTAAATAACAGTGCCCAAGCAATAAACAGGACAGACAATAGGATTTGATTTATTTTTACACTACATTTTCACTGAAAGCTGACCGAATCCGACCTGAGCCAGAATACAATTTATATAGCTATAACGGGTCGGGCCGGGTTTGGTCAAAAATGTAGCTCTACATTTTTGACCAAACCCAGCCCGACCCATCGGGTACCATCGGGCTTGGATCGTCCCACTCTAGTGTGTGTATGTGTCCCCTATAGAGGCCTATCTGAATTTCTGTCTTTGAGAGATATTATTTTGTAATAAAACTGAATTTTCTATCCATACATATAAATTTTAAATATATTAAAAGGATAAGTCATCTTTGAGTAAGCTGCGAGTATCATTTAAGTAGTTGTGGCCGGCCAAGTGTCCTCTTTTTTGGAAATCAAAATATGGTCACCCTAGAATACGTCAAACGACGGTGTCTCATCTCCTCAAGTAATAAATAATAATCTCTGGGTCCATGATTTAGGGCAAACTAACTTACTAGCTTACTTTTTCTTTCGTCATGTGCAGCTCGTTGCTAGGTTACAGTAACCCCAACGGGTTGAGGTGAGAACAACTGGTGATGCAACCAAGAAATCCTCTGCAGACCAGACTGTCCCATTTTGGAGACCGTTCAGTTTGGCTGATCTTCAAAGGACATGGCCGACTTCGACCGTGAAGGCCGCGTCCTTCAAAGGCTGCAGCCCCTGAATTGGGACACAGCTCATGTTACCTAAACCTGAACACAGTAACTTTACTTGCCAAAACCTACCTCCGTAACTTTAAGTTGATTATGTAACTTTACATTAAGGATGTAATGTCATTCGTAGGGCACTAATTCGTAGGATATCATATGAACCATTCTATGAGGATACATTGTTGATTTAAGAAACACATTCTCACTCCCAAATCGTCAGATGTGGTGACTTGGTCAGTAGCCCTTCACCTCAAACTGTGACCCTGCATGTACCCCTCAAGCATCCGTTTTGGATTTGTCAGTTGCCACTTCTTACATGCTTCAGTGTCTTTTATAATTAATTAATGTTGTTACAGGAAACGTAGGTTTCATCACCAGAACTACTTTGGGTTTAGGCCACAAAACTGTTTGGTTTCGTTTAGAAAAAAGATCATGATTTGTGTTAAAATAACTACATTTATAAGTTAATATGAGGGTGTATCTGTTCAGCCAGCTAAATTATCTGTATCTGTACTTGGAATGGGCGGAGGTTGAACAGGAAGCTTTACCTGGAAATGAGTGGAACCGAATCAGAAGTTACTATAAACCTTATATTGATATGGTGTGATCACAGGTTGCTGTATGTATCACTTATCAGAAAACTAAAATTTATTTATATAGCGCTTTGGCAGAAAAATACAGAAGTTCCCCAAACACCTGTCTACACAAGTGTGTCTTTAGCTGGCTTTTAAAAGAAACCACAGAGTCAGCAGATTGTAAGGAAGCAGGCAGAGCGTTCCAAAATTTAGTGCTACAGCTGCAAAATCTCGGTCACCACGTGTCTCAAGGAGAGTTCAAGTTGCTCAGCTACAAAAGAGGGAGCCTGACTGTTTAATGCTCTTTTAATAAGAGCAAGCATTTTGACATAGTCCCTTCCTGGGAGCTGTTTCCCCCAAAATACCATTATAAACATCAATATATAATTTGAAGTAATATAACAATATGCACTGAAAGCACTTGTACTAATTAAAGATGCAAAATAGTGTGTTTTTAAGTTGCAGAGTCTGTTCTCTGTCATTATTTCACTTGTTTAAAAAAGGTTTTCCTCATCATAAAACAGCTTGCCAATGTTTTCAGGGATGCCATCTGCTCCTCTCTTTATTTAGAGACTGATTATTGTTCTTTTGATTGTGTCTAGCCTGAAGGTTTACTCTTTTTTTCACCTACTTATTTAGTTTGTTGTGCCATATAAGACTGATTGTTTGGGACCCCCTTAAAAAAACTAAAAATATCACAAAAAAGACAAACAGTAACTGGATGTAACTTCGGTTCTAAGAGTGGGGCAGCACCATAGATTTATAATAACGTAGCAGTCCCTCATTATTTGGTACTTGCTTTTAGCTGGATGTCACGAGTCCCCTGATTTGATTGGAGGGTAATTCAGGTCACCTGCTGTGCAGGGTGTTGGCACTGATTCCTAATTAGCAATTGAGAGCAGCTTGGTGCAGTTCCCCCTCTGAGTCAATCAGGGTGTGATGATGTCCTTTCTTTGGGCTCGACAGGACATTCTGATCCTTCCTCAAATTAATACAGATGTCATGTTAGCAAATATTGTCTGTCAGAAACTTTTGAGAAATCAATGCTGTATTTCGCTGTGCTGTTTGAGGGGGTTTTGTGCATTTAAAACTTAAGTGGTGGGACTACAAAAGAACCCTTAACACAAGTTCACCTGTATCTGAGCTGTTCAGTGTTTTCATGTGAGTGGTTTGCTTGCCAAATGATCACTGAACGCCTGCAGGTTATATATAATCATTTTGTTTATTGGTTTATTTCGCTGAGACCCAATATAACCCTCACCTCCATATATAAACACCTTTGTTTATTATTGCAAACACTTTCTTCTTAATGATGAGGTATTTCTTCATTACCAAAGAGACATTTCTTTAATTATGTTATGGAGGCATTTCCGTTGTGAAGGCTCTGGTGAGATTTGTTTCCACAAGTGAAAATTCTTTTTATTATGTGCTTGGGAAGTCGTTCTCACACCTCAGCACAACCACAATAGTACCAAGGTACCAGATGACAACATGGAGCCTATTCATGCCAGTGGAGCTGCTTGCCTGGTGCATATGCCCAAAAAAGTTTCTAGCTTCCAGGTATACATCATGGGGGAGCAGTGTCTGAGGTACAAACATTATTAAACTAAACTTACAGTAACTGACTTCTGTCACTTCATGTCATAAAATCTAAAGTGTTGAGTAGCAGCTCAGTGATGATGATGTTTGTGACGTCAGCGCTTCGCAGAGGAGCAAGACACCGCTTTGGCAAACTGCTCACAGTGGACCCGCCCATCAGGTCCAACTCCCGCCTCCTTCAGCAGCTCGTCCACTGACAACAGAAACACAACTGTCAGTCAAAGTCTGTTTAATGGAACTGTAGCATTTCAAGAGGAGCCACTTCAGTGACATGCACTGAATAGTTTCAATTCTCATCAGTTTGTCATTCAAAGCAGTTAAATATAGATTTATTGAATATAATTTTATATTATTAACTCAGAGCATTTTTAAACTCCACTCAGCCAACTCTCAAACACTGCATTCTTCCCACCTCCTGCATCATCACCCCTTATGATGCAAGTGCAGCATTAATTATGTGACTAATTTATGCTATTGCTATTGATCACTTTGTGTTAAATGAAATAAACACAGATTAACAGACAATTCAGTGATAACACTCAGTGGGCTTTCTTGTTAAATGAAAAACATCTTTTACAGAACAAAGCAAACTGCAGCACTCTGCCACATCATTTAAAGGCCTCCTATTTTAGTTGGCTCTGGCTGTTGCTTCCAACGGTTTAGGTTAAAATTAAAATCAGGTGTCTCTGCTGCAATGGATAAAAAAGAATTTATCTCACTGATCATGATGCAATAATTTCAAGTGAACTGTTCAGTTAAACTTAAATTCACAGGTTTCCTTGGTTTGGGATGCATACACACATAATCATCACAGAGTAACTCAAAGTCAATCAAACTCCTGGGATATCAACCTCTCCAGTCAGGACGCAACACTGATTGTGAATCAATCTGCTGCTGTGCAAATTGGACAGACCAGGATGAAATCCTCAGACCCACTGTCAGACCGTATGCTGGTGCAGTGGGCCCTGGGTTCCTTTTAATGCATGACCATGCCTGGCCTCATGTGGCTGGAGTGTGTCATCAGTTCCTGGATGACAAAGGCATTGATGCTATTGATTGCGCCCAGACGTTGTAGGGAATGAATACAGGCACGTGGAGGCCATACACACTACTGAGCCACATTATGAGTTGTCCTGAGGAAATTCACAGAAGTTGGATCAGCCTGTGATCAGATTTTTCCACTTTGATTTTGGGTATGATTCTGAATCCAGTCCTAAATGACAATACAGATAAAGACAGTTACAATAAAGATTTTCATCTGAAATATTTCATTCATCGAGGTCTGGGATGTGTGATTTAAGTGTTCCCTTTATTTTTTTGAGCAGTGTATTTTAAGCTCAATGTCTTATACACATGCTTCATTTTCTGCACCCTCAAAGTCATTGTTTTTAATGTAGACGTGCAGCAGACATGCTCAAATGCCAGAGCAATGCCATTGTGGCATGCATGCATTCCCAGGCGCCCATTTTTCAGGGCACAATGGCTGCATCCTGAGATGATCACAGTTAATTTTTTGGAATGCTTCAATGCACACCGCATTTCAACCATCACAGCCGACAGGCATCTTTCCCTTCATCCATAAATATCAGTCTGTGATAAATATGGAGGAGAATTTGTTCATGTTAGTGCAGAGCTAATCTCTCAAGACAGATTCTGCAATTTACATTGTAGAATCTGTCGGCAGCCCTGTGTGAAAGACGACTACAGAGAGAGGGGAAGGTCGGGGCTTTGAGTTTGAACAATGCTGCGCTTTAGCCAATCACAATGGAGGAGGCGTGGCCGAGATGTGCAGGTGCCCCCAGGAAATGTGTACCTACAGAAACAGCAAGCTCCGGGTCCATAGCGACCGCTCCACGCCATCTCGTCAATGTGAAAAAAAAAAAAATTTCCAGCAGATGTCTTAGTTACAACATGATTGAGCTAACTGGAGTAATTTCATGTCGTATCCGACAACGGGAGGCTTTTAACAGATGACATCCTGATGTTAGCTTTGCTGCTGCTGTTAGCTGTCCCTGTCAGCTGCAGCCACTGATGCTTTCTAGACATCGTGATTTCCCAAAACTGAATAAATACCACACATAGCAACACAAAACTGCTTTGCTAGCTCAATCATGTTGTAACTAAGATATCCGCTGGAAAAAATATTTTATTCACGGACCGTTTATTGAGTTATTACCTTATTTTTATACAGTCTATGGTTATTACAGACACCGCTAACGGCTAACGCTCACAGCTAACGGTTAGCCCAGCTAATCTACGATAACCATGTTATTAATTACAAAACGTGCACACAGAAATAGTAATGTTTGTTCAATCATTGTGTTTATAGAGTTAACAAACATCAGATTATCTACACGGTGATATAGTGTCTTGAAAAATGTGATATATAGCTAAACTTTGCTGGTTTTCTACCCGAAGTATTTGAAAACAACACAGTGATTCCCTGGGGGCACCGCCGGAAGTGAAGGGCGTGAGCAATCGCAATTTTTTTTTTTGATGGATTTCCAGATTGGTGCAGAGCTGCCAGAGCATTTCATCTGTCCTATGGACAATAGTGCTACACACAAACAGCTCCTGGAAGAAGATCAGCTCTGCACTCAGGATTGCAGGTAAATAGGCTATGATACAGTGAAGGTTATGGTTGCTTAGCAACCTCAGATGCAACCTGCTGCTGCGCTCTTGAAAGCTGGCCCAGAAAAAGGCTCAAGAGCAGCACCAAACGCCCGACCTTCTGTTTTCCAGGTATTTACAGTCCATCTGTTTTTTCAGTGTGATGCATTCCATATCTTGAGACAACCCAGTTGCTGGAAAAGATCATGTTTTGGCTTAAAGTACCCAGTTTTTGAGGCACCATCTCTGTTGGAGTAACATCAACAGGTGCCTAAAAAAACATACCCACATTTGGTTGCTTAAAAAGCTGCTAAAAACACAGTGTTGACTCAGTTTTGTTGTTTGTCGGTCTTGAACAGTGGTCTGCAGCTTGATAGGCGTCTCGCCCATGAAACCTACAAATGTAACTTATTGATGGTTTACAGAAATGTGCAATGCCAACATTTTTTTTCTTACGACTGGGCTGCTGGATCTCATTTTAAACTTAAAACTCAAAATTAATTAAACCATCAATTCAAACTGTCTCTGCCTTCTCAGCTAAAAAAAAGTTTAGTTACTTATACCTTTAGTTACTTGCAAATATTGAAAGCTGAACTTCATTTCATTCAACAAGAGATCTGAACCCATTCAGATTCAATAAGATGATTTGATAGTGGATTCAAACTGACCCCGACCTCCCTCAAATATTTACATCAGAATATCTTAAGTTGCTGTACTGAAAGATAGAAAGCAAACTCATATTTCAGTTGTGGATTATTACTTCAACTGAAGTTTTTCCAATAGTATTTATCTGACTCAGTGGGTAAATTCGCATAATTTCAAAGGCTGCCCTTCAATGACTTCAGTATGAGACACAGCGTTCAGTCTGCCGCTGTGACGCCTGAATGAACTCAGTCTATGGGTGAATGTGAGTCGATTATTAGCATAAGTGAAGTCAAAGACAACATGCTACTGAAGCCCTGAGGTGACTGTAAGCAGTCAGCCATTTAGAAAGGTTTGTGATTCACTGTGAAAAATAATGAAAGTGCTCCTGAAGGCTCAAAGAGAGAAAAGACACAGAGGACTAGAAATAAAAGTTTCATCAGCCGAACTAATGAAAGAAACAGTTTTAAGCAGCTCCAGAGGACTCTTGGTGCAAAAGATTACGCTCATTATTATTAGTGATCTGTGAGCTGATGTAATGCCAGTGTCGCTCCACATTTCCACATTTCATGGTTTTCTCCTTGTCTTGAACCTAAGTTAGACTGTTGCACAAAATACCTTAGCAACCAAAGCAAAGTTAAAAAGAAAAAAACATTGAGGTACCTCTGACTTTATCTTAACTGCAACATGACCGGGTTTATGGTGATAAATGAAAAAACTAACGTGCCCAGAGAAAAGTGTTCTGTAACCAGGAAAGCACAATAGATACACTTTACACGTAAGACGTGACAGAATCAATTTTTGTTGCATTTTCTTCCTGTAGTCATTTTCTGTTTTCTGGTATTTAGGGATTTGATTGAAAAGTTCATCTGCCAGAGAGAGGTGGTAACACTGAAGCAATACTTAGCAGAAGACAAGTGTTCTGGATATTTAATCTGCAAACTCACAAAGGTTTAAATGATGAAATACCAAGGCATGTCATGCTGTAATGGATTTGGGATCTCAAAAAGACCAGTTTATGATACATGGCATAAGAATATACAGTGTTGAACATTTTGAATGATTTATGAAAACTGCAAGGCTGATGTGTTCATTCATAAGATGCACATTTTTGTAAACAATTTTGTAAATAGCCTTTATTATGTAAGGAGCCCAGGGTTTTTAGGTATTCCCTTTGTTTTTCTTGTTCCCTTGTTTTTTCGTTTGTGGGATATGTGACATATGGTGCACAGGCTGTTGTCAGTTATTGAGAAACACACCCACAGCTGATTAATTCCCTCACACCTGTCCACAACTGCGAAATGGTGGGACAGTTTCTATTTAAGCTCAGTGTTGGAAATAATGGTGTTGAGCACTCTTGACGAAGGTCCAGGAGGACTGAAACGTTAGTGTAAAGAGCAGTGTGTGGGGTTTTTTGTTCAAAGACTGAACTGATATTTTCCAACGCACCTGCACCTGAGACAGTTGGCTGTGCGAATACCTTTCTTCAAACATATTGCCTGGTATTTGGGGATCAAATTTACTTTGTAGTTTGTGCATTATATAATTTTTTTCCTCCAAAAGTATAATTTTTTCCTCCTCTGACCAGTTTGGTTTTCTTGTCCTCTTTTCTTCTTTCTTTTTCACTATCAAACTCTAAGGCAACTTTGTGAGACAATAACAGGCATCCCAAACCAAGGAAACTTTTTAAGGGATTCTGTGCAAGTCCCTCAGCAAAGGAGAAATCAAGCCTTAAGTGTCATACTTCAGGAAAAAACTTTGTTGTTGTGTTTTTTGTGTGCAACCGGTCCCAGCACCCTATGTAGACATAAACCGCTCATTCCAAGGTTATAAAAACACCATAAGTCTTATTTTCAGGTGATGATACATTAAAGAAAAGAAAATATAACATATACCATATTCATTTTCTGTCAGTATATACCCCTAAATCCTACACACTGACTTAAATCCTTTAAGTAAAATCCCCTAACCTCGTAAATTTTGTAGATGTCCAAGGAGCTTCACATAACACGATTAAAATAAAGGAACAGAAAAAAAGTACAATAAAAGAACAATAGCATGTGTGTAGTAACAACAGCAACATAACAGGAGAGTAAAAACTGACAGAAACTCAAAATTAATACCACATGACATATTCTGCTGGATGTAAAAGATAAAACATGTGTGTTTAGGTGTTCATCAATTCACCGCTCTCACCCTCTTGATCAGTCAGCTTCTCTCCCAGCCCGGTGAGTTTGGCTCTCAGCTCGGAGGCGAGGATGAAGCCTTTCTGCTCCTTGTCAGCCATCCTCATGGCCTCCAGGATCTCCTCCTCGGGCGCCTCCTGCTGGAGCTGCCGGTGCATGATGCTCAGGAAGATGGAGAAATCCAGCTCTCCGCCCCAATCTGCAGGAAGATATTTACTTTTACTGGACAGGTCCAATTTCTGTAATGTTGCCCGTGGAATGATAAGATGACTTTATTGATCTCTGCAGGAGAAACGAGGACAGGGAAGAAGGTGAAGTAAGAAGAGTGTGTGTGGGAGGAAAAGATAATAACCCAGTGAAAATGAATTAAGATGTTCAAACACTGCAGTAATATAACAATGTAAGGAGCGGTGCTGCTCGATAAGCTGCTGACAGTTTAAACATGTTAAATAAACTGCATGAGTGGAAACTGAGCTTGTTAATTACAGCAACTACAGACAGAATTTCCCCTCAGACTTACTTAAATATGGATGAAACAAAGATAACACAAGAGAAAGTCGGATATAAGCAGCCTTTATGTTTACAGGCAGAAATATTAAAGCCATAATAAAAAATAAGCATTGCTGCTGTCATGGGAACGCTGTAATGTTTCAGCACAACCTTCAGGCGTTCTTCACTTTTTCTTCTTACTGTTGTCTGTTAGAAAAACAAAGATGGTAAAACAGACAGCAAAGAGGCAAATTTGTTCCAGTAAGTTAAGATCAAGTTTTTTTAAGCAGTGTTAATTTTGACAAGAATTTAGTTTTAGTCTTAGATTCTTGCTGGAATTTGTAATTGGTTAAAAGTCATTCTTAGTCAGTTTTTAAAATCAAGAATTAAACAGTTTAAGTTTTTGTCTAATTTCTAATTAGACTAATTTCAATTTCAAATCCTACTTAGAGGACAACTATGAGCTGACAAAAATGACATGCGGAAGTCCCCAAGGCTCCATTCTGGAACCTCTTCTGTTTAACATCAACATGCTTCCATTGGCTCAGATTATGGAAAATAACAAAATATTTTACCATAATTATGCAGACGATACACAAATTTACATAACCATATTACCAGGGGACTACAGTCCAATACATGCTCCGACTGAGTGCACTGAACAAATCAATGATTGGCTGTGCCACAAAAAACAACTCTCAGCTTCAGTCAGCAATGTTAAAAACCACAGTCCAAGCCAAAAATCTTGATATAGTTATGGACTTAGACATGAATTTTAATAGCCGAGAAAGAAAGACTGAGGATGTTCTGAGGTCTTGACACTGACTTCTCGTCTCTCAGAGAATCAAGTTTGAAATATTACTGTTGGTTTATAAAGCACTGAATGGTTTAGGGCCAAAATACATTTCTGAACTTCTGCTACAGTATAAACCATCCAAACCTCTCAGATCGTCTGGTTCAGGTCTGGTTTGTGACCCCAGAGTCAACACTAAACACGGAGGAGCTGTGTTTACTTTTTATTCACCACATATCTGGAGAAAACTCCCAGAAAACTGCAGGTCTGCTTCAACTAAATTATTTAAATCAAGGCTGAAGACTTTTCAGTTTGTCACTGCCTTTAATTAGTTTGAATATTTGTTCATTTCTTACACTGCACTATAACTTTTATTGTTGTTTTTAATTTTACTTTGTATTCTCTGGCTCTTTAATGGTGATATTATGTTTTTCTTTTGCACTTTATCTTGATGTTATTCATATTTTATGTAAAGGCCTCTTAATTGCTGTTTTGCCAAAATGTGCTGTATAAATAAACTCGCCTTGCCTCGCCTATCCAGAAATGCACGACAGCAATAATGATGCTCACAGCAGAGTGCAAGTTAATATCCTCACAGTATAATTTCATAACTTAGTTAGACGGGGTGCCAAATGCAAGACACTGGCAGAGAGTGGCGACAGCCAGCGAGGCACTTCTAGTGGAGAGACTCAAGTGAGCAGATGTGTCTTAAAATTTTGTCTCATATTGGAAATTTTCCAACACGCTCTCATCACAAGTCATCACATAATGCTGCCTTGTCAGTGGCCTTTCATGTCTTGGTATGGTATTTGGGAAGTGAACAACAGGCTCCCGGGTAAAAGTCCAGTGTTTGTTGGACCCGCCCACCCTAAAGGGACTTTCAGCTCGTTATATTATGTAGTTATCAACAGCATTTCAACCTGTTCCAGCGGTGTGCCAGGTGCAGTCTGGCTCACCAAAAGTGTATCATAACAATGCAAAGGGTTACTTCCTGTAACGTTGCATACTGCCACCACCTAACCATGTTTCACACTGCTATGAAAGGTGGCTTTTGGTGTCAGATGTCTGATGCCAAAATCACTGACAAAGTGGTGGTATTCAAAGACTTTGGAATGGGAACAGGTTGAAATTTTCACAAGGAATAAAAGAATAAAACTCATCGGACTCAGCGCGCAAGGTTTCTGTGTGTGACGATTTTTATCCGATGACAGATATAAACAACGCGTACGAAAAATACAGACTTGGTGTTCAAAGGCCTGAACTCATTGTTGGTTTAGGTTTGCAAATGATATTTGTTGATAAGATGAGAAATATATAAACTCATCAGCCTCATCCTTTAACAGTTAAAGACACATTTAGAGAACTGGCAGAAGTTGTGTAGTGTGTTTTTGCTTTTTGTGATATTTAAAATTTGAGTTGCTTCTGTCATGATCCTACAGAAGACAGTGTGCGCCGAGACATTACGATGATGACGATAATGATGATGACGATAATGATGATGATGATTATGATGATGTAAAAAGCTGAAATAAGGTCAGATTGAAGCTGTATTCAGCCAACCAGCAGCAGTCACTGTTGCAGCTCTGTGCTCACACTGTGTGTTATGTTTGATTATCATTTGCTTTATGTGTAATTCAGTCTTGTTATGCACCCCCGCAGTGACCCACAAGAGTCATTAGTTTCGGTTCATGTATCATGTGAGATGATGACATGCACTGTGATGCAGAACCGTGGACATGCAGCGCTTTCACAGAATCACTCTGTGCTCAGTTATGTTCATATTGGTGCTAAAAATATTCGTTGAAAAATCAAACACCTACAGTTTGAGCTGTTGATCAGGCAGAGAATGTTCTGTTTCCAGGATTTTTTTTTCAGTTGAATGTTTTTGGGTTTAAATTATGAAACAGATGAACAAGCATCTTGTTGATATCATCTGTCAGTGGAAAATTGCAAATTTTTTCTTCAACATTCACAAACTAAATGATTCATCAAGTTGCAGCCCAAGTTTATGTCTCAGAAGTACACACAGAAGTAATAAACTGGTATGAGTGAAACAACCAAAGACCACGACACACTGAGATAACAGATCTGGCAGGTTTATTGCATTTCACACTGTGTGAAATGGGTCCGATAAATCTTATCTCTGTCAGACCATAAAAATTTTTTTAAGACAAGTCAGTGCAGTTGTCCAAGAAATGTCTGAGTCATAGTGCTGGACTTAAAAATATAAATACAAGCAGAGACACATCATAAACTCAAAACAACCAAAACAGGAAACAGACTTTGGTCATCAAGCTGTTGTTTTTGTTTTGTTGTTTTTTTTAAATCCTTAATGGTCAGATTGGTTGGTTTGTAGAGGTCATTGTCTTCGATCTTCAAAATTCGAAATCAGCTATAAATTGATATGTCTCGCAGTGAGATGTAGGACAGATTTTTGATTGACAACCATTAGATTTCTTTCACAATGTCGACTTTTGTCTCAGACAACCCAAATTCACACTGTGTAAATGAGACAGCAGTTGTAGTTGATAGTCATAAAGTTGCAAAGTGAAGTAAAAGGTCCCATTAATTTCCCTTAAACAATGTTAGGTGGCTGACAGTTGGAGAACTGGTATAGCTTGGATCTGCATGAAAGTCTCCTGCAGACAACCTGCAGACATGAAGACTGAAGGAAAGAAGTCAACTCTGGATTCCAGGGTGCATTTCAGCAAGAAACATCCAGCTGACACTATAATAACTTCACCTGACTTCCTCCTTTTCTCTTGTCATAATTAGCACGGCCACCAGAGGGTGCTGTGACTTGAACATAGACAGATAATTTTGGGGCATTTGTTCAAACAACTTAGTCTCCTATAAACTTTTTCAGTATGTTATCTTCTTTGCAACTGCATAGAATTCAATTAAGGATCAATTTATAAGACACAAAGCAGATGTGTTGCTATTTTTACCAAAAAACATATTTCACTGTGTTGGCTGAGAGAAAAAAATTGACAGTCAGACAGGTGAGATGGTCACAGGTGTGAGGTGGTCATGGGTGTACCTATGGTGTGGCTCATCAGGTGTCGATGGACTTCGGAGGGAGTGGGGTTTGACCCGAGACATCGCATCACTGTGATCAGCTCCCGGGCTTCAATCTTCCCTTTCCGCTGGCGGTCATACAGAGAGAAACACTCCTTAAACTCTGCAACACACACAGTCATTTTCCATCACTTCAGAGGACATTACATTAACTTACCTTCATCCCTGGAGAGTTACCCCAAAAGTTAAGCAAGTCCCCACAACGTGACTATGAAAACAGGTTTATGTCCCCACAACATTAGTAAAACACACACAGAGTCATGTTTTCTTCACATCAGGGGCCATTACTTTGACTTACCTTAATTTTTTGGAGACTTACCTAATCCTTTACCTGAACCTTACCCCACCCTTAGCCTAAGATTATTTACCTTATGGGGACTTGCGTTTTGTCCCCAAAAGGAAAGTGAGTCCTCACAATGTTACTATATAAACAGATTTATGTCCCCACAAAACCAAGGTTTGTAAAGCAAAGCAGCAAATGTTTATATATTTTTTCCAATGCATTATCATGAGATGCTGGATGAACAAGTCCTGAAACTTCAGAGAAGATTAGAAACACACAGAGTGAAGCTCCTTTCTTCATTTTTTTTTAATTTAAAAATGGCCAAATAAACTAAGTATCAAGGAAGTTCTCATCCTGTTTGTAGACAATTCGTTTTTGAAAAATTTGAATTAAAAGTAAAATTAATATCATGAAGACATAAGTAGATCCTGCACCAGGAATGAGAGAAAGAAGATTAAAACAAATAAACAAATAAACAAAAAGATTTTAGCCTTTTTTTTTAGCTAGCTCTGGTTTTATGCACATTTCTGGTTTGGTTTAGTCTAAGTGTTTTCTGAAAACCCCACTGCACATATGCTCAAAGGCAGACAGATACGTTTAGAGAACAGCTGGTGAACTTAAAGGAGCATTTAGCAGCTAAAAAGACAAATATTTCCTTAAGGAGTTGGAGACCAAAAACAGAGCTAAAAGAGTGATTACTGGACTGACATGCATCAGGTGGAACATGCTAACATGCTAAACTAAGATGGTGGTCAATATTATATCTGCTGAACATCAGCATGTTAGCATTTAGCTCATTATAGGCCTTTTATAACCCCTGTAAAGGATTTTAAAGGTCCAGTGTGTGATTTAGGAGGATATATTGGTAGAAATGGTATATAATATTCATAACTATATTTTCATTAGTTTATTATAACCGGACACTACGAGTCATTGCGTTTTCCTTATCTTTGAATGAGCTGATTAAATCACATATAGAGTGGGTCCTCTTCAAGCAGCAACCTCTGCAGCTGAAAAATGAAGCCAACGTGACGGTCCTCTAATGGCCACTAGAGGCTGGCTCCAGAAGCCAGTCAATCCTCATAGACCCTCATGTTAAAATGCCCAACTTTACAGCAGAAATACATGTTTAGAGCCTGGTATAAAAAGGGTTTTGATCTCCAGAGCCATTTCCCTGTTCATGACAACTGCACAGGGAGTGAATTTAAGGCCATGACCACTTTCAGTGTCTATCGATAGTGTCGTTGGCTTCTCGGTCAGATCCACCCCTCGCTTCTCCACAGCTCCAGCTTGTGTTCACATCTGGCTCCAAAAAGACAAGATGGCGACAGCTGAAATGCCAAACTCAAGTCTTCAAAACGGGAGTCCACAAACCAGTGGGTGACATCATGGTAGCTACAGTCTATGCATGGGTGCAGATCCTGGGGGGGACGGGGGGGACATGTCCCCCCCAAATTCTGAAAAACACAAATTGTCCCCCCCAATTCTAAATAGCTTAATGATTGAAATTGAACAAATGTATACAGTAGTCCTATATACTGGGAGATAGGGAAGATAATGAGTAGAAATGGGAATCCGTGAGAGGCGAGAGATGAAAACGTGAGTGGACATAACATGCCTGAGACCCTGAAACTAGAAGTAGCATTAACTAACAGCGAAGCAGTGAAAAGGAGGGTGATGGCTGGTTCCATGTACTACTGGCTGTTTAAGAGAAATAAACAGTAAAGGTAAGCATATGATTCTCTTTGTAGTGCTTTTTGAATGA